TGAAATTTTGTGGGGAAGGAGCAGAATACCCACATGGTATCAAAATATCATGCTACAGACTTCTTATAAGTCACAGAACAAAGGTACCTTTACGATGGAGTGATCTGTCCAACGATACCATAAATAAGTGATCAAACTGAGTAATGCCAAGAGCAGCACCTATAGCTAGACAAACTGACCTTCATTCAGAGCATTCAGATGTGACGTAAAGTGAACTACCCATCACCTATTTAATATTCTTGCCAAAAATGTTAAAAAGAAATCTAAATGAGAGGAAAATATCAAGCAAAACTGTATTGTGGACACACTGGAAGCAAACGGGTCTAGGCTCTTGGAAAATATTATCATGGAAGATCTAAGTTGAGGGACTGTTTGGGACCAGAAGATACTAAAGAGACATGACAACTGAATGCAATGTATGATACTTGATTGAATCGTCGACCCTCAAAAGGATATATTTGAATACGGGCTGTGTATGGACTTAGATAATATTATCATGTCATTGTTAAATTTCTTCAACTTGACAACAGTAATATGGCTAGACAAGAGAATGTCCATTCTGAAGTTATTGGATGAAGCGTTTGGAACTTGAGTGGTTAAGCAAAAGAAAAAAAAAAGGAAAGATAAAACAATGGGATAATATGAAATCTAGGTAAAAGAATGTTCACTCTTCAACTTTGTGCGTTTTGAAAATAGAAAGTTGAAGAAAATGGATTGTTCATATTTTAAAGCTATGTGGTGAACTATTCTGCAATAAGGTAGGATGATTTCTGGTAGTTTCTTGAAAATCATCTGGAAGAGAGGGAGGGGAGAAGGTCCGTATGAAATGAAATTGGGTATGAGTTGTTAATGGTTGCAGTCCAGTAATGGCTTCCCTCACCATTCTGTCTTGTATATACAATGTTTCTCAAAGTGTGATTCCCCACCGGCAGCATTTGCATAACCAGAGAACTTGTCAGAAAAGCAAACTCTGGGTTCCACCCCAGATATTTTAATCTGAGACTATAGATGGTAGAGCTGAGCATTCTGTTTTCACAAACCCTTTGGTTTATTTGGAAGCTGATGGATGCAAGGTAGAGTTCCAGGAACAGAGTTCTGCTGTAATGAACATGGAGATTGTAAGTTTGTATACAAACCCGATTTGTGTATGTTTGAAATTCTCCAAGGTACAATAGAAAACAAAAAGTAAAGAAAACAGGCATCACAGCTGTTTAGTGGTCAAGTTTTAAAAAGAATCAAGACAGATAATCCCAATGTTATACAAAAACTCCCAGAGGGTAGAAAAGAGAAACTATTCCCCAACTCAGTCTATGAGACTAGAAAACCCTGATCCTGATGGGGCACCTGGGTGGCTCGGTTGGTTGAGCGTCGGACTATTAATTTCACCTCAGGTTATGATCTCACAGGTTCCTGAGTTCTAGCATTGCGTTGGGCTCCTCACTATTAGTGCAGAGACTATTGGGGATTCTCTCTCTCTCTTTCTCTCTCTGTCGCTCCCCCACTCACACATACACACATTCTCTCTCTCAATAAATAAATAAGTAAATTTTTTTTTTTAATTTTTTTTTCAACGTTTATTTATTTTTGGGACAGAGAGAGACAGAGCATGAATGGGGGAGGGGCAGAGAGAGAGGGAGACACAGAATCGGAAACAGGCTCCAGGCTCTGAGCCATCAGCCCAGAGCCCGACGCGGGGCTCGAACTCACGGACCGCGAGATCGTGACCTGGCTGAAGTCGGACGCTTAACCGACTGCGCCACCCAGGCGCCCCATAAATAAGTAAAATTTAAAAAGAAAAAGAAAAACAGAGAACCTTGACGCTGGAACCAGCAAAGATACTATGGGAAAGAGAAGCTTCAAGTTGATCTCACTCATGAACAGAAGATGTGAAAAAATCCAAAGCAAAGCCTTAGCAAACTGAACCCACCAGTATCTACAAAAGATGATCCACCATAAAGAAGTTACATTTATCCTTGGAGAATGAAGCTGGATTCACATTTAAAAAATACAGGTCGAAGGGGGCATGAGAGAGGTTTTTGTATCGGTAATATATTCTGTTGCTTGCTCTAGGTGCTAACGGAGTGTGTATGTTTAATTTTTGAAAACTTATTAAGATACACACTTATGGTTTTGTCCTCTTGTGATTATAAACTTCACTACAGATTTTGAAAAAAGCATCTGCAAATAACAGTCACTGTATTAACAGACTGTTAAACAGACTCTTGAACATTTCAATAGAGACAGAAAAGTAAAATTCGATATTGATTCATGTTTTAAGACAAACTTATGAAATTAGAAATATAAGGGAAGCTCCTTAAACCTATAAAGAGAAAGAAAGAAAGAAAGAAAGAAAGAAAGAAAGAAAGAAAAGAAAGAAAGAAAGAGAAGGAAAGAGAAAAAAGAAAGAAGGAAGAGAAAAAGGAAGAAGAAAAGAAAGGGAGAAAAGAAGAAGAAAGCAGGGAAGGAAGGAAGGAAAGAAGGGAGGACAGAAGAAAGGAGGTAGGGAGGAAGGAAGGAAAGAAAACAGTGGAACACAACGAATACATTTTAATATGGAAATGTTAACCCAAAGGGGTCCAATTTTGCCATGTCTGTTCCACTTGTAGTGGACGTCCTAGCCAGTCAGTAAAGGTTTAAGAAACCTGTAAGTTGATTACTGTACTTCTCTTACTCAAAGATTCACAGAAACCTGCAGACGCCTAAAGACAAATTATTAGATATCACAGAGTTTAACACGGTGGCTGACCTTAAGGTCAATACAGTTTTTAAAAATCAAATGGATTTCTATAAATTAGATACAATTAGAAAATGTCATTTTAAACAGATATCAAGTACAAGAGCAACAATACTCTAGAGTATCTTGGGATATATGCCATAAAAGATGTACAAGATCTGAATGTAGAAAAGATAAACCTAAATAGTAAACTAAAATATTAAAACATTAAAGAAGACCCTCATAAATGGAGAGACATGCCATGTTGGTGACTAGGAAGGCTGGGTGTCATAAATACAGGCAATTCTCCCCTAGCTGATCCATAGATTTAATGAAAATGCAACCCAAATGTGTTGCAAATGAATTTTCAAGGAACATGACATGTTGATTCCAATATTTATACTGGAAGGGCAAAAGGTGAAGAATACGAAAGATACGCCTGAAGATTATGAATAAGATGTGGGGACTTTCCCTACCACACATAGATCAAGATGTCCTGTCAAGAGGTAAAAATTAAGATGGTGGAGTATTGGCACAGGAATAGACAAATTTATCTATGGAACAGACAGGGAGCTCAGAAGCCGAGACATGCAAAGGTGGACCAAAATGACTCCAGGCACATCCAAATGTTCCTCGGGGGTGCAGGATGCCCCACTGATTAAGAATCCCTGACATAGGAATATGGATGAATCTTAAAAACACACGCTGGATTTTGTAAAAGTAAATTACAGAATACCAAGGACATGAGTTAAAACTGCACGCGCATGTAGTATGTCACATCCAAGGAGAGAAAAGTCTGGGAAACAAGGTTTGGGGGAATGCAAAGCTCCACCTCACTTCAGGAGTTACTCACTGGCGGGCTTGGTAAAGCCAGCACGCGGAGAAGTGGGAGGACGGTAAGGGGGCGGGGCTTTGGTGGGTGAGTTCCGTTGGAACTCGAAGCTCATTGGTCGCTGGCCACAGATGTGGGAGGAGCAAGGCAGCGCTGGAAACTCATTGGCCTTTGTGCGAAGGGCGAGAAAGGGAGAGAGAAGTGGTCTTCCCTCCCACCTCCTGTCACTGCGGCTGGAGGCTGAGGTAACCACAGGCTGGCATCAGGAATACGACCCTCGTTCTCCACACATCTTCTTTCCTCCCTCCCTCCTGCTCTGGATCACCAACCCCTGGTCCTCTCCTCCACCTCAGTGGGGTCCCTCTGCCCGCTCCTGATGTCCAACTCAGTCACCCGCACCCCCACCCCCACCCCCACCCAACAACATTGGAACGCCTGGGGGAGGATCCCCTGCCTCAGACCCTTGACTCCTGGCCTCTGGAACCTGAGGCAGGGCATATGCCCCTGCCTTTGATTTTGATGTGGTAGTGGCAGCGAATGACTGGGCTGCCTTGAGACGGGGTAGTACACCCTGGGTTTGGGGGACAGGGAAGGTGTACCCAAGCATAACTGTTGAAGCGTGAAGAGGATCATGGGAGATTGTCAGGAGGCTGTGGAGGGAATACATGGGTTTGAATGAAAGCAGAGAGGGTGTGTTGGTGGAAGAAAACAATTAGTGCAGCGAGGAGTTGTCTGTTGACCGGATCAGGGTCTGGCATTCCATAGGGGGCCCAACAAGGATCTAGTCAATGACTAATCAAAGGGATGAATAAAACATAATTATCGAAAGAGGGGCTTGGGATTCAGCAACATAATATAATCTCATGGGGTGCAAAGGGGTGTCCGATTAAAGGGGGAAAAAGAGAATAATTAAGATTACAGTGGGGTGCAGAAGAAGATCAGAATGGGGTGTGAGAGGAAATTTGAACGTAGGATGTACATGAGACTAATAACAGAATTGAGTTCAGGAGCCATAGAGTCATGAGTAGGGAGTGAGTGAATGTGGGAGGTTAGGAAGACAACGGTGGAAGCGAATGCCAGGAAAAATAGGTATAGCAGAGTAGAGGATGACACATGAGAAGGGGAGGGCAGGAATTGTTGAAGGGGGCACAAGAGTGAATGTATATGCCTGAAAATGGGATCTATGTAGAGTGAAGGTAGGCAAAGAGAATGATGATTGGATTGAAAGTTGACAGGAACCATGCCATGAGTTGCTTGGAACGAGGCTTTGCGTGAGTAGGGCCTCCTGGGCAGGAGGCTGTGTGAGCAAGAAGGGTGGGTGCGATCCAATTTCAGCGGTGAGCTGGATGAAGAAGAATCCAGGCACCTCAGGTGGGGATTTTGAAGGGCAGAGGAAGTATGCTGAGGGTAGGGGATCATGTGGCCATCCTGACATCCACTCCTGGCCCTAGAACCATGGATCCCAATGAAATGCCTGCTGTGCCCTGCTGCCCCTCCGACTCCCCCACTGGCCTTGAGACCAGAGCCCCATGGGGGATCGAACTTGGCCCCAAAAGGACTGTAAGTTGCTGTGCCCGCTGCTACAACCATGGCCTCAATGACCAAACCAAGGACCAGGAGCACTCCTGCCCCTTCCAGGCTTGTGAATGTCACAAGTGTGCCTTCTTCTCGTGAGTATGGTGTCTGACAGTGGGGGTGGGGAGGGGGCCTCCTCTAAATGTGACTGACTGTAGACTGGCAATCCCCCACTTTAGGGATCCCTGCAGAGTCTTGCCTGCTGAGAGTGCCTTGAAGAGGGAGCAGGGGGCATGCCTAAAGAGGCACCTGACTCAAGGACTGATAACGAGTGGGGCCTCCCCTCCCAAAGCTCACAGCCATGTCCAGAAGTTGACCATTCAAGAAGAAGTCGTCAGTGAGTGTTTCTGGTCAGGGAGGGCGTCTTGGGTTTGGGTGTAGAGAGCACGAGCAGTGCTGCCACCAGTCCTACTACCCAATTTCGATGTGGCCTTGGCAAGTTACTCCTCAGGGTTTTAGCTGCCCCACCTATAAAACTTTATCAATATGATCTACCAAGTGTTGGTGGGAAGGGGCA